TCAAAGTCAATTTTAAAACCAGCATCATTGACATAGGACTAGGAGATGACAAAGCAAATTATTATCTCGTGCACTATACAATAAAATATTGTGTAATTTACGTGTTTTCAAATCCTACAAAGAAACAGCTTACCCCACAAAACCTAAAATTCTCATTTTTATTCACAAAATGGGCTACTCAAATCGTCCAAAAACTACTCACCCGCAAAACCTGGACAATTTCCCATAGAATTGTATTCTGCAATTGTATCTTGACAATAATTTTGATAATTCACCTACAAATGCACTATTAGTTCCAATTTGTATTATATTAGAGGTGGCCTAGTGACCCAATTGTTACGTCATAATCAAGTCCCTTCATATCTGAATAGCAGCTGTAGGATAGTCAAATGTATCCGCATAATTCGGTATCCTTTATATTATTGGATCTCCAGACAGAATCTTTTATCAAGGCGAAATTGGGTGATTTCCATATAATATGAGCAATCAAACGAACTTCTTTGTAAAAACTGGTCATATTTATTATTTTATTGAACACTAAAATCTGAGAAAATCAATAGTTAGGAATTCACAATATTTTAATTATAGAAGATGGGAAATCAAGTCAGGACTCAGAGTCAGATAACGGGTCTTCGATGATCAAATATTTATCAATACTTAAAATTCACACAGATAGACCAAGATTACTTATTATGTATGAACATTCGCATAAATTTTCTGTGAGCTATTATAGGAAATCATCTTGAAAGATATTAAATAAAAACACAAATAGGAATAATAATGATACAAGATTAATTAACACATTGAAATTAAAATGACATTATTGAGATCAAATGTTACCCCAACTAAAATCTGTCATTGTTAAATTGTCCTTACTTTAGAAGTGGAACACAATCATAATTTAAATTTTCTTTGGCTAACAGTAACTCTAAGATTTTCTGATTTGTCATAAATCTTACAGTTAATTTCAACTTAATAATAGTCGGAAGTATAATTCACAGTCTAACTGAAAGTCTGATTCCGAAAATTAGTTCTATCCTACAATCACTCAACCGGACAAGGATAAATATTTGTCACTTAATTACTCACAAAATCTAACATAATTTCCTGGAAACGTACCTCCGAATTCCCGTGAGAAATAAATCGTAATGTTCTAGTTTCTAGTAAATGCCACATTTAGCTATTAGTATTGGTCATGGTGTGGAGGAGTTTAAGTTCGTTAACTTCTTCTTTCGAGTTTAAGATCGTTAACTTCTTCTCTTGAGTTTCCCTGGCAACGTACGAACATGCTTCAAACTGAGGTTTCGTCAGATGGCGCCTTCTCATCAGGTATTATTTCTCCGCTGTCTTTATATACAGGGAATAAGTTATAAATATAACATGTCATTTTATTATTATTTATCCATGACTCATTAAACAGTTGACCATTGTTAATGATCTGGCCCGGCGCGCGCTACTTCGTAGCTCTTGCCACATTTCGAGAAGAAAGCGGCGCGCGCTACTTCGAAGAAATTTAGACGAGTAACATCCGTCAAATTAAACAGGTGTTTTATCAGTATCATATTAGATTTTTAGAAAATACTGTCTGTATTGTATTGTAAATATATAACCAAACTTAAATTAATAAAAACGGTAATTTAAAAAACCTGTAATGTGCCGGGAGTTCTGTAGTGAGATCTGGTTAGGCAGTGAATTTTTCTTGTCAGTTGTTTTTATTTCTTGGTTGTCACCTGCTGAAAATATATTTGATCAGGATTCCTCACTGTGAGTACTGGGTCCATTGCTTGAAAATTGATAAAATAGTGATAAATAATTAGTTGAGTAATTGTTAGTTAGTCAAGTAACTGTAACAGTGATAGTTGGTTGAATAATTGTTAGTTAGTTAAATAAGTAATAACTGTAACTTACCTGCTGTGGATGTTATGTTCGAGGTCTGTAACGAAACTAGTAGCGAAACAACCGAACGAATTTTGGAAAGGAGGAATTGTCGGAAACTTCTGATCGTCAGAACGTATATGTAAAAGTTGGCCACAACATTTATCATCAACAAGAAAGTGAAAAATTTATAGAATTGGACAAGAAATAACTCGGAGGGATCCTTCATGCACTTGATGGCGATTTCGTTAACAGCGTAAGGTAAGGTGGAGATGCAGTAGACAACAGCAGTGAGGACCACAGTGAGGGCTCCTTGCCATGGAACACTTCCACCAACTCGTCTTGCAGATTTCCCTGCATCAGCTAGGTACTTCAGTATAGGAACTGTAGTGGCGACGATGATTATGTTTGGAACTATACCGAATATAAATCCCAATATCGGTGTTATTGTCTTCCAGGCATCAGAGTTGTGACCATAGTCACAGTTGTAAACTCGGTAGTCAAATTGAACATCATCTTTGTCTACAGCAAGGCATGATATTGGAAAAATAAGGGAAAAAGCCCAAATGAAGCTGCAAACTTGATGAGCTCCTTTTGTTGACCAACTTGCTGCTCGGAGAGGATATTTGAGTATCAGAAACTTGCTTGTAGTGAGCATTGAGATGAGAGACATGCTAGCTGGGAAAGCGAGGTAGCTGACGTATACCTTAACATAGCAAAGTGTTTTTCCTAAAACCCACGAGTTGGCTAGCAAGGAGATAGCAGCAGGAGCAAGGGCAGAGATAGAAAATATTAAATCAGAAACTGCGATGTGCTGGATTGTTGTGACTAAGATTTTGTTAATTTTGAAGGCGTCCTTCTGGAACGATGCAATCAAGATCAGAGTATCTCCAATAAGGGATGACAGGACGCCAAATAAATGGTAAGACGCCCAAAAGTATCTTTCTGCATTGTTGTGCATCCCGAATTCGATGTCCGAGTAGTTGTTTGAAGTGGTCATAACTCCGAAAAGATCTTTAGAGGTGGCTATATATGCTATATATATTCAATTCATGCTAAAATTCAATTAATTATTGTAATTGTATAATATATGAATATATAATATCATTTATAAGATCTTAAGCTCAATATGAAGGAGGATATCGTGATTTATAGAATCGAAGGCCTTAGCAAAATTAAAATACACAACATGATTTATAATGTTTTCATTCAGAGACAATGCCAAGCTATCACTAAAATCAACCACATTGGTTGTTCATGACTTGTGCTCTATGGAATGCCATGCTGCCTAGGATCAAGAAGGACGTTTGTCAAAGAAAGAAAGTTACTTTTAATAATCCGCCCAAAATGTTCATGACTTAACAAGTAAGAGATATTGATCTTAGTTTTCAACCTTTTATCTTTCTTAAATATTGGGACAAAATTGGCAAGTTTCCACTCTTGCAGAATTTTGCCGCTATTGCAGGATCCATGAAAATTTCATGTAATAGAGGATAAGCATTAAGCTATAAACCAATGGACAAATTTTTAAGAATGTTACCGTGTATACCATATTAGCCCTGCGCTTTATTTGAATTAATAGCTGAAAGAAGCTTACTAACATGATCAAAGTCAATTTTAAAACCAGCATCATTGACATATGACTAGGAGATGACGAAGCAAATTAATATATCTCGTGCACTATACAATAAAATATTGTGTAATTTACGTGTTTTCAAATCCTACAAAGAAACAGCTTACCCCACAAAACCTAAAATTCTCATTTTTATTCACAAAATGGGCTACTCAAATCGTACAAAAAACTACTCACCCGCAAAACTTGGAAAATTTCCCATAGAATTGTATTCTGCAATAATTGTATCTTAACAATGATTTTGATAATTCACCTACAAATGCACTATTAGTTCCAATTTGTATTAGAGGTGGCCTAGTGACCCAATTGTTGCGTCATAATCAAGTCCCTTCATATCTGAATATAGATAGTCAAATGTATCCGCATAATTCGGTATCCTTTATATTATTGGATCTCCAGACAGAATCTTTTATCAAGGCGAAATCGAGTGATTTCCATATAATATGAGCAATGAAACGAACTTCTTTGTAAAAACTGGTCATATTTATTATTTTATTGAACACTAAAATCTGAGAAAATCAATAGTTAGGAATTCACAATATTTTAATTATAGAAGATGGGAAATCAAGTCAGGACTCAGATAACGGGTCTTCGATGATCAAATATTTATCAATACTTAAAATTCACACAGATAGACCAAGATTACTTATTATGTATGAACATTCGCATAAATTTTCTGTGAGCTATTATAGGAAATCATCTTGAAAGGTATTAAATAAAAACACAAATAGGAATAATAATGATACAAGATTAATTAACACATTGAAATTAAAATGACATTATTGAGATCAAATGTTACCCCAACTAAAATCTGTCATTGTTAAATTGTCCTTACTTTAGAAGTGGAACACAATCATAATTTAAATTTTCTTTGGCTAACAGTAACTCTAAGATTTTCTGATTTGTCATAAATCTTACAGTTAATTTCAACTTAATAATAGTCAGAAGTATAATTCACAGTCTAACTGAAAGTCTGATTCCGAAAATTAGTTCTATCCTGCAATCACTCAACCGGGCAAGGATAAATATTTGTCACTTAATTACTCACAAAATCTAACATAATTTCCTGGAAACGTACCTCCGAATTCCCGTGAGAAATAAATCGTAATGTTCTAGTTTCTAGTAAATGCCACATTTAGCTATTAGTATTGGTCATGGTGTGGAGGAGTTTAAGTTCGTTAACTTCTTCTCTCGAGTTTAAGATCGTTAACAGCAGAACATCATGGACCCTCCCCCTTATAGTGCTCACGGTTAGCAAAGTTATAATATTAATATTAAAGTTATAATATTAATATTATGTTATTGTTATGCTCGACTTATTGATATGATGTTCATCAACTAGACTTGTTGATGTTCATTACTTACTTACAAGTTGAGTTATCTAATCTAGATTGGGTAATAAATTCACGGCGTTTTTCGTCGCCTGTTTCAATCTATCCGTTATTAATATTTCCACCTAATAATAACGTGCCATGTTTCTCTTCAGGGGGACCCTCAACTAGCATGATGACGTCACGTGGTGGTATGATTACGTCACAGGCAAGTCCTCTTAACCAGTCAGAGAAAAGATTTGTTGACAGCACCACCTCTCCCATTCACCCCCAGTATTTGGAAAACAAAGAGAACTTCAACCCTTCCCCTCAGACAAGATTCCAGCCAGATCAGAGTTGTCAATATAGTTCACCTCCACTTCCTAACCAAGGTGAGTTGCATTTTTCAGCTGAAGAACAGTTTTAAATGAGAATACTAGGAGTTGGTTTTGTTATGGTTAGGGAGGGGGTACCAATGGTACCCCCCCGTTAGGGATCGTTCACATATTGCGTAAGCTTAACTTTTGTAATTTTTCTATTTTAGACCCCTTTTCCGTAAGCCACTTTACTCACAGCTATTGTGTAGAAATAACACTAGAGTAAGCTTTCCAATCATCCCTCCTCCAAAACTTCCTGCTTACGTAATTAATGTGAACAATCTCTTTGACAGTATCGAATTCTGTACTTGAGTTGATAAAATTCAAAATGTTAACATTTCCTGAGAAACTAAATCGCTTCCTTCTCGCAGGTATGGATGTAAAACCCCAGAGATTACACTTCAACTTCCCTAGCCCAGGTCCCGTGGGCACTGGTCACGTGGGCCCAGCGCCTGACCAGACCGGACTACCGCCCCCACAGACTCCCAACCCCGCCACACCCATCATGGGACCCTCCCTCGATCAGTCAGCTGCTGTTCTGGGACCTAGCCCTGGGTATTACAACAGAACAGATAGCGGCACTTCTGCGGGGTATCCCAGAACAAACTTACCAGAAAGTGCTAGATTACCACTTCCGGAACATTCTAGAATACCACAACATTCCAAACTTTCAGTTCCTCTGTCAGAAAGTTCTAGACTGCCTGGTTCAGACCACGTGATAGAACGAGGAGAATCCCTGTCATCAATTCGACCAACTCTCCAACACGAACACCATGCCAAGGCTCAAGAAGTCCAGGATCAGAGATCACCTCACAGTCCCACACCAAGAGTTCCCACTCAGTTCAGAGACAGTTCCGAGAAGACATATCAAGACACTTGCCCACGTGACCAGGGCCCACGTGATCAGGGCCCACGTGATCAGACACCTGATGGCCCACGTGACCTGGACCGAGCCGCGCGACCAGCAGAACTACACAAGGCGCCTCACCCGGCCCACAGACCACCTCACTTAGGAGGGAGACCTCCTAACCTACCCTCTCATCTGTTCCCTAACGATACGAGACCTCTCCAGTTCCACACCCCACCCCCTACCAGAGGGTTCCAGCCCCCACTACCTTCAGGGCCCAGATCAGCTAATCTGCCTCTACACAACGTTAGAGGAGACTTTCTTCAAACCATGAGACCCAAACAAGAGCCCATGCCTCAACTTGATATGGGGTATTTTGACGCGGTGCGGAGTCTGGGAGAGGGAGGGCTGTCCCGAAATACCGTCAACATGCCCCTTGACAAAGAGAGAGGAGAGGTGTACCTTGGTAACCCTGGTAACAAAGCAGTACCCGACAACTTAGCTGCAGGGTATTTACCGTACCCTGATACGATGAGTAAACCTTATATCCCCGGAGGGGAATTCTTTACGAATAGCTCTGCTAAAGAGCGATTTAACTTCAGTTTCAAAGAAACTATTGGCAAGATGTTGTCGAAGAAGAAAAATACAGCAGCTTCAGACGTTAATCCGGCGGGGAAAAGGACCAAGTTTTCTAACGAGCAGATCAGAGTTCTGGAGCACTATTATCAGAACGTTAATAAATATGTAACCGGGACAAACAAAGGAACTTTGTGTCAGGTTACTGGACTGGAGCTCAGTACTGTGTTGATGTGGTTTCAGAACAAGCGTGCCAGGGAGAAGAAACAGAAGACTAATGTGTAAAGACTTTCAATTCTTCAGATACTTTAACATTTTTATTTATGTGAATGCTTGGTGAGTTCTTAGTTGATTTAGATTTTCTTGATTCAGATTTATTTTATCGTTACTGTTTTTATATTACTCTGCAGGTTGCTTTAATAGATTTAATTTAATTTTAAACCGAACTAATTTATTTTTATAACTTGTTACTTAAGTGCATGAAAACATTTTTAGGACACATAATTTTATAATATTTACAAATGCAATATGCGTTTACGTAAAACTTCTCAAATGGTCTGGATTGCGACAAATAGTTATGTTTATGTCAAGGTACTGTATTCTGCCGACTGTCGATTAAATGTGTCGCAACATGTGTAGGGATTATTTCTATTTGTTTAATTTTACTGACAATCCTTGAATTTCTTGAACCAATAAATCATTAAAAATTGATATTTTATCAAATAATAGAAGTTACTTTTTATACCAAGCCAGTTTTAAAGCTTTATTCAGATTTCTGTCGATCGAAATAATTAAAACTGCTTCGAAGGGAACTTAATCTACCAAATTATAAGATTATCTAATTACATTTTAATTTGCGAAATGGTTTGATTAAAAAAGGTGAATAACAGATTAAAATATATTTACAGTTGTGGGAGATAAATTGATGTAAATAGTGAATTTATTTCATTGCAAAGCTTTACCTTGGAGTGGTTATTGTCTTTATAAAATAAACATTCCGCTACATCATAATTACTTTTAGCATCTTGGAAGTTTTGGAAATGTATGAGCATTTGAGTAGTGAAACGAACTTCTTTGTCAAAGTTGTCAAATTTAATATTTATTGAACACGAACATAATCTACGAAAATCAAAAGATTCATAATATTTTATTAATCCTAGAAGATGAGAAATCAAGATCAGATACCGGGTTCAATAATTAAATATCATTATTATCACTACTTAAAATTTGCACAAATAGGCACAGATGAAATATTAAGATTAACTAGATTCACATTAGCATTAACTTTCTGTGCACAAATAGGAAATCATAATGAAAAATAAAAACTTAGAAAGAGATGAATACAAGAGTTAACGAAATGAAATTAAAATGTAATTATTAAACTTAAAGTCAAGGGATACCCCTTCGAAATTACAGTAAAGAGTATTCAAACTGAAAGTCTGATCACAAAAATCGATTCTATCCTTGATCCTTTAATAACTCAACCAGACAAGGATGAATATTTGCCACTCAATTTATCTCAAAAAATCCAACACAAATTTATGGATGCGTTCTCCGAATACCCGTTAGAAATAAATGTTCTAGTTTCTAGTAAATGCCTCATTTAGCTATCGGCGTGGCCGGAGGAGTTTAAGTTCATATTTAACTTATTCTCTTGAGTTTCCTTATCAACGTACGAACATGCTTCAAACTGAGGTTTCGTCAGATGGCGCCTTCTCATCAGGTATTATTCCTCCGCTGTCTTTATCTACAGGGAATAAGTTATAAATATAACATGTCATTTTATTATTAATAATAATATTATCTATCCATGACTCATTCAACAGGCGTTTTATCAGTATCATATTAGATTTTTAGAAAATACCGTCTGTATTGTATTATGAATATATAACCAAACTTAAATTAATAAAAAACGGTAATTAAAAAAAACCTTCAATGTGCCGGGAGTTCTGTAGTGAGGTCTGGTTAGGCGGTGAATTTTTCTTGTCAGTTGGTTTTATTTCTTGGTTGTCACCTGCTGGAAATATATTTGATCAGGATTCCTCACTGTGAGTACTGGGTCCATTGCTTGAAAATTGATAAAATAGTGATAAATAATTAGTTGAGTAATTTTTAGTTAGTCAAGTAACTGTAACAGTGATAGTTGGTTGAATAATTGTTAGTTAGTTTAGTAACTGTAACTTACCTGCTGTGGATCTTATGTTCGAAGTTTGTAACGAGACTAGTAGCGAAACAACGGAACGAGTTTTGGAAAGGAGGAATTGTCGGAAACTTCTGATCGTCAGAACGTATATGTAAAAGTTTGCCACGACATTTATGTTCATCAAGAAAGCGAAACATTTATAGAATTGGACAAGAAATAACTCGGAGGGATCTTTCATGCACTTGATGGCGATTTCGTTAACAACGTAAGGTAAAGTGGAGATGCAGTAGATGACAGCAGTGAGGACCACAGTGAGGGCTCCCTGCCATGGAACACTTCCACCAACTCGTCTTGCAGATTTCCCTGCATCAGCTAGGTACTTCAGTATAGGAACTGTAGTGGCGACGATGATTATGTTTGGAACTATACCGAATATAAATGCCAATATCGGTGTTATTGTCTTCCAGGCATCAGAGCTATAACCGTAGTGACAGTTGTAGACTCGGTAGTCAAAGTGAACATCGTCCTTGTCGACAGCGAGGAGGAGTATTGGATAGATAAGGGAGGAAGCCCAAATGAAGCTGCAAACTTGATGAGCTCGTTTTGTTGGCCAACATGCTGCTCGGAGAGGATATCTGAGTATCAGGAACTTGCTTGTAGTGAGGGCTGCGATGAGGGACATGCCAGCTGCGAAAGCGAAGTGGCCGACATATACTCTATAGCAAAGTGCTTTTCCTAAGACCCACGAGTTTGCTAACAAGGAGATAGCAGCAGGAGCAAGGGCAGAGATAGTAATTGTTAAATCAGAAACTGCGATGTGCTGGATTATTATGACTAAGATTTTGTTAATTTTGAAGGCGTCCTTCTGGAACGATGCAATCAAGATCAGAGTATCTCCAATAAGGGATGACAGGACGCCAAATAAATGGTAAGACGCCCAAAAGTATCTTTCTGCATTGTCGTGCATCCCGAATTCGATGTCCGAGTAGTTGTTTGAAGTGGTCATAACTCCTAAAAGATCTTTAGAGGTGGCTATATATGCTATATATTGAATTCATGCTAAAATTCAATTAATTATTATAATTATATAATATATGAATGTATAATATCATTTATAAGATCTTAAGCTCAATATGAAGGAGGATATCGTGATTTATAGAATCGAAGGCCTTAGCAAAATCAAAATACGCAACATGATTTGTAATGTTTTCATTCAGAGACAATGCCAAGCTATCACAAAAATTACCCACATTTGTTGTTCATGACTTGTGCTCTATAGAAAACCATGCTGCCTACGATCAAGAAGGACGTTTGTCAAAGAAAGAATTTTACTTTTAATAATCCGCCCAAAATGTTCATGACTTAACATTAACAAGTAAGAGATATTGGTCTTAGTTTTCAACCTCACTCTTTTTATCTTTCTTAAAAATGGGACAACATTGGAAAGTTTCCACTCTTGCAGAATTCGTCTGCTATTATATTATTATATTGTACTATTACCAAGATGCAGTTAAGTCTAACTGGTTAGACCTTACGCAGAGTTAAGCCTAAATTAGTCCTAACTCTGCGTTAGGTCTAACTGGTTAGGCCTAACTGGTTAGGTCTAATTGGTTAGGTCTAACTGGGGCTAAGACCTAACTCAGAGTTAAGCTTAAATTAGGCCTAAATTAGGCGTTATGCCTAACAGTAACTGTAATACCAAGATGCAGTTAGGCCTAACGCCTAATTTAGGCCTAATTTAGGTCTAATTTAGTCCTAACTCTGCATTAGGTCTAACTTGTTAGGCCAAACTGGTTAGGTCTAACTGGTTAGACCAAACTGGTTAGGTCTAACTGGTTAGACCTAACTGCATCTTGGTGACAGGTAGGATCCACGAAAAGTGCATGTTAGAGGATTTAAAGCTATAAACCAACGGAAATTCTTTTAAAAATGTTACCGTGTATACCAAATCAATATGGGACCTGGGCTTTATTTAATAAAGCCTATTGGCTAGTTTCTCACTTTCCACTCTTGCAAAATTTGGCCGCTATAATTGTAGGATCCCCGAATAATTCATGTTTAAAAATTCATAAGCCTTAAGCTATAAACCAACGGAAAAGGAATGTTACCGTGTATACCATATTGGCACTGGGCTTTATTTGAATTAATAGCTGAAAGAAGCTTACGAACATTGCATGATTTAAGTCAATTTTAAATTAAGCATCATTGAAATAGGACCAGGAGATAACGAAGCGAAATATCTCGTGCAGTATACAATATCAATATGCAATAAAATATTGTGTACAATCTGGTCAAGTTTTTATGTTTTAAGAGCTACTTTCAATTTCATTTTATATCCTTCCATCAGTTACTTCGCAAGAATTCTGGTAGCTAAAGGGCCAATCAAATAGTTGCAAGCTGAGCTGGTGCTTAGGGATCATTCTCTGGAACTGAGAATTTAATTAATTCTAATAGTAATAAGATGGAGCTGCTCAACAAAAAACTTAGCTGCCAGCTAGGACCAAATATCATTCTAAGGAACTGAAAATTTGAGCAATGGAATTATGCTATTAGCATATTACGTAATCAGCCGAGGGGGGAGGGCGGGTTTCCAAACGATTACGCTAATGTTATTTTGACACAATAACTATGCGTAAAACTAATTACGGAGGGGGAGCTGGGGGGGGGGGGGGGGGGGTTAAAATTGTCCAAAAAGTGATTAAGTAGATCCTAGAATGGATTAAATTATGTTAGTATGGTATTTAATGAATAATGATGTACTTAATTATATAATATCATCATTAACAATAATATGTGAACGACCACTAATAGTAATGGACTGGTACCGCGACAATTGACCCCCCGACAATTGACCCCTATGTAATTACACTGGGGTCAATTGTCGCGAAATCTAGGGTTGAGTACGACAATTGACCCCCCGAAAATTGACCCCCCGACAATTGTAATTAATCAAACTGGGGTAAATTAATCGGGTTAGGGTCAGGGTTAGGGTTAGGGTTAGGGTTAGGGTTATGGGTTAGGGTTAGGGTTATAGGTTATGGGTTAGGGTTAGGGTTAGGGTTAGGGTTTGGGTTAGGGTTAGGGTTAGGGTTAGGGTTAGGGTTAGGGTAAGGGTTAAAGGGTTAGGGTTGGGGTTGGGGTTGGGGTTGGGGTTAGGGTTTGGGTTAGGGTTGGGGTTAGGGTCAGGGACAGCTGTTCCTGGGTCAGGGTCCTGGGTCAGGGTCAGGGTCAGGGTCAGGGTCAGGGTCAGGGTCAGGGTCAGGGTCACTGGTCAGGGTCAGGGTCAGGGTCAGGGTCAGGGTCAGGGTCAGGGTCAGGGTCAGGGTCAGGGTCAGGGTCAGGGTCAGGGTCAGGGTCAGGGTCAGGGTCAGGGTCAGGGTCAGGGTCAGGGTCAGGGTCAGGGTTAATTGTATTCAATTATATTTTCGGGGGGTCAATTGTCGGGGGGTCAATTGTCGCCCACCCTAATGGACTGACCCGGCGGCCGGCAAGCGCTATTTATTCTTAACTTTAAGAAGAAAAATTCATGATAATGCAGTAAAATTTAATATTGCTTCTGGTACCTAAAAGGCCAATCAAATAGTTGCAAGCTGAGCTTTTGAAAATCCGAGCAAGTTTATTTTTATCGTGCTCCCTAATCTTAACTTTAAGAAGAAAAATTTGTGATAATGCAGTAGAATTTAATATTGCTTCTGGTAGCTAAAAGGGCCAATCAAATAGTTGCAAGCTGAGCTGGTGCTAAGGGATCATTCTCTGGAACTGAGAATTTAATTAATTCTTATAATAAGATGGAGCTACTCAACAAAAAACTTAGCTGCCAGGCGCCAGCTAGGACCAAATATCATTCTAAGGAACTGAAAATTTGAGCAATGGAATTATGCTATGGACTGACCCGGCAAGCGCTACTTTGTACTTCGCAAAGCTTTACTGGGCCTTGACGGATGATACTCGCATGAGCTTCCTTATCGAAATATTTCCTT